GATAGATAGATAGATAGATAGATAGATAGATAGATAGATAGATAGATTGTCGTCACCCCTCCCCTGAAGAATGTCTGTGTCACTGTGCTTATGTGCGTGGTGTTTTTTTTTTTTTTTTTTTCCAATTTCAGGCTGTTTCCTCGGCCAAGGAATGAGAGTCTGTTTGGAATTATTATTTTTTTGCCTCCAAATCATATGCATGTCATCATTTTCATCACTTTTTTGTCTGTCCATACAGGTCTCATTTGTAAATGAGTCCTCGAGGCTCAATGTGATTTATCTGTATAAATAATGGTGGAATGAAAAAAAAAGGTAGTAGTGCTGTATGAATGGGTAAATGAGGGCACAGATTGTAGTGCTGATAAGATAGAAAGGTGCTATATACCATACTTTTCAAACTATAAGGCGCACCAGATTATAAGGTGCAATATTAATGAATGGGTCTGTTTTCATACATAAGGTGCACCAGACTATAAGGCACATTAAGCGAAACTAAACAGTCACATAAGTCAAACTTTATTCAACTCATTCACAATAACTCTCAACCTTGTTCGTTCATTTGTACCACATAAAATCTGTTTGAGGTCAGTAAGCACAACCAGAATTAATACATAAGGCGCACAAGATTATAAGGCTCACTGTCGATTTTTGAGAAAATTAAATGATTTTTAGTGTGCCTTCTAGTCTGAAAAAATATGGTAAGTACACTCCATTTACCATTTATTTTGTTTGCATGTGGATGATTTTGTACGAGGGGTGTAGTCAATGACATGAGCATTACTACTTACATAAAATTTTGCAGAAACATATTTTTTTCTTTTATTTAATGTCATTGATGATTTCTGAAAAAAAAATGTTAGCTGACATAATGCATGGGGTAGGTCAATAACAAACATTTTATTGCATTAAATACATTAAACATTAAGCACATTAAACATTTGTTAGAACAAGTTTAGCATCTGTAATAATTATCTCTTCAAGTTCTGTTTTATTTCTGATACTACAATATTGGTTTCACAGTTTATTTCCTGTCTGTGAGTCATTGAAAAAGTGTGAAATCATTTGCACATTTTTTTTTTTTGTAGTGAGCACGTGTTAATAAACCAGGCCAAAGCTAAAACAAACAAACCAAAAAAAACAGCAGAAGAAAACCTAATAACATCATGAAACATCACAGTGCTCGCTTTCTAAAAATAAAGTGATTTAAACTTCTGTAAATTTACTAACTGCGTATTGTTCAGCTGTTGTTAAATTTAGTTTAACATTTCAAACCTGACATCTTGAGAATTTTCAGGTTTAGAATAACTCAATGAAACAAAATGATCTAGATTAAAAAATAATAATAATGTTTTAGGAAATGTTTGATATATTTTATTATTTAAGAAAATAAAGGGACATTTGACAATTTTTACCAAGTTCTGACTAAAAAAACAATTGATCAAATATAGTCTTTAGCAACAATCAGCAGCTTAGACCTTCCATAAGAAGCTTTGTAGAAATAAGATTAAATTAATTGGTGCCCTTAAAGCAAGCGAAGGCTCCAAGGAGATAGCAAAGTGTTTTCGAGCGTCTATACGCTCAGTTCAGTTTATAATGGATTCAAGTAACGACAAGAAGCACAGAGGTCAAGTTGAGGTCTGCGAGTCCAAGAAAACTTTCAAAGGGAACTGTCGAGGGACTGCACAGGCAAATCAAAATTCTTGTATGACTGAAGAGGATTTGGCAGACTGGAGGTGGTCGGGAGTTTTACTGAGCAGAAAATATTGTAGGTGTGGTGGTGGTGGTGGTGGTGGTGGTGGGGGTGGGGGGGCAGGTTTCTAAGTGAACTTATTAATGTTTGGTTTGAAACAACTGATTAGGAGATGGAACGTGGAACAATTACAATTTTGTATTTATTTTTTTGTGTGTGTGCTTAAACATTTATCTCTGTGAAAACCTGTAGATGAGAAACAAGATTTATTTGTTTATTTTTATCTATTTCTTTTAACAAAAAGTACAATTCTAAGCACGAATCGATGACTTTTAAAAAAGAAAAACAAACTGCTGCTAAACTGTAGGTAATTGCAAGGGTGGAAAAATACATATCTTACCGTTTGAGGTGGATCTGACTTGGGATCATTTTGGATTTAAAAATAGAACACGACACTCTGATCATGATGTTCAGTTTTAGGGTTGGATGGATTATGAATAGAGGTCACAGCACAAGGTCTTATTCTGCTTTAGGCTTCAACATTAAAAGTTTATAATGTCAAAAAAGTGTAAAATAAAAGTCTCTATTCTGCCATTCTCTCACCTCAACCAAATCTGGCCATTCTCATCTCATTTATTATCATGGTTTTAGTCTTTTTTTTTTTTTGCATTAATCTTGAATTGGATTCATCCGGTTCCACTTTAGGTTGTGTGTTTTTTGTTGTTGTTGTTTATGTTCTGTTCTTGTATTTCTGGTCATCGCCTCCTTTTACCCTCTGGTGTCCCCACGTGTGGCCACTCACTGAATCTCCCTCCCAGTAAATGTATTGTATCCTCTTTGGTTGATCAGACCATCCCATTAGCTCCTCTTTGTTTTGCTCATTTTGTATCTTGTCCCCAGATCCCTACCTTTTGACTTGATGAATCAAGTTTTGATTCTGAATCTACCTTCTACACTAAAAAACTGCCACTCATTAAATATTGTATCTTTCTCAAACCACTTCTCATAACTCTAGTTCGCTGTATATGAATGTCTTGGCACAGCAGCAGTTTTTTAGTCTAAGACCAGCACACGACACCAACAACCATACTATAGATTTAAATTGTCTTCCTTCTCCATTCAGATACCCAGTTTGACCTTCTGCAGGTTTTTACCATGGTCTGTCTGCCTCAAGATAAGGAGTTGTAACTATTATGCCAAATTGTTGTTTTTGTTTGAGCAAAAAAAGTCACTTTTTACTAGACTATTTGTTTGAATTTACATTTTGCATTGAGATTGCAGAACATATTGCATTTTTAAATTGCTGCTCAGAAATTAATGTCATTGTTACATTATAAAAACAAACAACATCTGTCCCAGTTGAATCCCAAACCACTCGTTTTGACAAATGTGTTTTTGTGCCAAAATCATCTTCAGACTGTACTTAATAATGAACATTCTGGGTTTCAATCAGGTCTATTATTGTATGTAATTGATTAGTGCTGTAAAGAAAGTGATTTATTTCACACACTTCTAAACCAGCTGAACACTGTGTTGTAAAATTTGAAATAGTAAATCTGAGTAGTGTATACAAACTCATGAGTAGATCTGCTTATTTTTGTTATTTAACCTATTTCATAAATAATAATCTAAATTATAACTTATGGGTGGAGGACAACTTAATTCTCACTCCTCGGTTTTCTTTATAGGTAGTTGGTTTGCCGATTTGCTGTTAAGATTAATCAAATTGATATGGACAAATTTAAAGATGGACTACAGATTTTGATAAAGTCCCCAGAGTCTGCCCAGTTGAAGAAATATCTGAAATGTGACGAGGTCTCTAAAGATCAATGCATGCTAGAGAACCCACAGGACTAAAATCACAAAGGATTTAGACATATAGTTATACATCATCATATATTTCAATTTTCAATATAGGTCATACCTCTACAGTGCACGGAGACCAGTCACTTAGTAACCACATATAGCAAGGCCTTATGGGACACGGTTTGGTCTGGCTGAGCTGGCTGGGACAGGGGCGACCCTCCTCGTGAGCCTCTTGCAGGATCCTCCGGCTGCGCTCTGAGTGACCTACATAAGATCAAGGCCAAAACACCATTTTGAAGAATAGTTAGACTCAGGAACATCTGAAAGCTGCAGCCTAGTTTTTTTTTTTTTTTTTTTTTTTTTTTTTTTATGAAATACTTTCTTTGCCTGCATCTGCCAATCTCAACTAGAGTGACATTTAGTGATTCTACAGTTAGCATGACAAAATGCTACAGCACTAAAAAAAAACAGTACAATTTGGGATTCACACTCTATTTGAAAAAAAAAAAAAATGCATCAGTAGAGAGACGTTCAACATGAAGTAAAAATTATAAAACAATTGGCTGATGTAAAAAGTACATTTTTATTTAAAAAAAACAATGAGTGCAGGGTCTTCTCAGTCTCTATTCTATACGGCGTATTGTTTTTATGCTATTAGTGCTTAGCATATTTTTAGTTAATGTTTTTCTTAGTTCATATCTTAGATGTTATTACAGTTTTTTTTTTTTTTACATTTTATTGTTGGATGTAACTGGGACCCTGTGTACATAATTTCGTTCCACCACATGCACCGCATGTGATGCAAATGACAAATAAAGAATCTCTGACTCTGATGTTTCCCCCATTAAATAAAATGTGCAAGAGGACAAATCAGGAAACTTTTTGTCACTTATGCTCAGAACTAATCATTTCTGACTAAAGATCCTTGTAATAAGTGAGCTACTAATAATGTGTGAAGGGAAAAATATATAAATGGTCACAGAGTTATGAGAGATGAACACTAAAGTTCAGTATGAACACTGGAAAAATAAATAATTCATTTTTATTTTTTATGAAAAGTACTCATTTGGATACAAATGGTCATTTAATTTATTTTACAAGTTACTCGGGCCTCCTTACACAGATACATTGTGCATGAATCTTGATCTCCCCTTTATTCTCAATAGCTGCTCCAGGTCTGATACAGAGATCAACAGGGGGCGCATTAAACTCCAAATCAGGTCAAATCTTGAGCACATGGCTCTCGTTAATGGTGCATTGATGTTTAAGGTGATCCTGACTCCATCTTTACATCATTCAAGATGTGTCTTCTTGTCATAAGATCCCTGAGACGGTCACGTTTGGTGTAACAAAAACATGCAGGAACAGAGACAGTGTACACAAAATAACAGCTAAACTTTGATATGGAAAAAAATATATATAAATAAAATGATGTGTCAGTAAAACCAAACTAAATCTAACAAGAACAACAGAAGGGCTATTTAACCAGGGATGAGTGATTACTGAATGCAAACAGCTGGGTTGTGAAGAACTGATCTGCAAGCAGAAGCTTAAAAAAACAATCGGTGACACACAGAAGAATGGTAAATGAAAAAACAACTAAAGCAGAAAAACAAGTAAAGAATGACAAAACAACTAGTCACAATAACACAAAAGGACATAAAGATACAGAAACAACATAACAATCACAGAATCATGATACATTTTACATATTTGTCAAACTTTCTTGCAGACTTTTCTTGGCAAATTTAAATTTATTCACAGCGTGTATTATTTTAGGATATAAAGGTCAAGTCAAATCAATCAGTACTTAAAAAAACAACCTTAATTTTAGTGTTGTAATTTATTAAACTTGCATTTCTTTTAATTTAATTATGTTTTATTTTTTTTTACTGGATGCATGTTACTCAGTGTCATTTATTTTTGACAATTAAAACAAAAATGAAAATGATAGTAGTTTTACTGGATATATTTGGCAAAGTTATGATACAGTGAATGTGATCAGAGAGAGCAGGAGCAAGCTTACGTAAAACTGGCTCTGCAAAGGCTAAATGAAAATCTCACTTTTACTAATATTTTTTACATTTCATCATGAGAAAAACAACTAATTAAACACTGATTGACAAACTGAACTAGTTCATTTGAAGTAGTGGATACAGTTCAGAATTTGTAAGAGCGGAATAATGAATTATTTTAGTTTAATTTGCATGAACCAGCTCTAAGCTAGTTCTTGTTAAGTGCAAACTTGCACAAGCCTGATCCTGCACTGACTGCAGGTGTGAGCAAGTTGTTCCCAAAAGATATAAAATAACATAAAGATATATATTTATATATATATATATATATATATATATATATATATATATATATATATTTTTTTTTTGTCTCCAGAGAAGCACATATGTTCTTTAAAAGATTTGGGCATGGAGCTACAAAAACAAAGTCTCAAGGCACTGTGTTTGTATCCTAAGATATACATAGAGGAACAGCTTTTTGGTACTATTTCTGAATGCTGATTTCTTATAGGGTCCAGTGAGGATCAGTAAAGAAATAACCTCAATTGGCTATTGAATAAACACAAGTTGTGATTGTGTGTGTGTTGCCAGGTGAGACGCTGAGCTCTGTAAGCCTCAGGCAGACACAGCAAAAAGCAGCTCCACTCTGCCATCTAAAAAAATAAAACAATAAAATCAAACCAAAAACATTAACACTCCCATGGTAGCCTGACAAAACAAGATCTTTGCATCGTCTGACACAGATATGACACAAATCCCTCATCAAGGCTGAAAGATATGTTTGACTAGGTGTCAGAAGGAACTGAGAAAGTGGCAGCGAGAGTCACAGCTACTGCGACAGAGCTGTGAGAGACACAGAAACCGTCTCGAGTTTGAATCCTCAACTGAAAGCTAAGTGCGAGCGAAAAGACGTGAGGGGTTAAGTCTGAATTGACTGACAGCCAGCGACAAATTAAAATTAATGAACTTGAAGAGACAGAGCCGAGTCTTTCTAATTAGCAGGATAAGAAGCTTTTATCTTTGGGAGAGTGGCTCTGGGAAGCCAAAGAAACAACATATGGATCCAGGTTAAATCATTAACTTTTGTATATTGCATGAGGTTGTGACGTGACGTTCTCAAAGTGATGCAAGCCACAGGTTGGTGATTACGGAATGCATTTTTTATCCCCAATCATGCATATTAAATCATGTTAAATATTTTATATCATATATGCTGCATGGAATAATCACAATAAAATTTTACACAAGTTTTCATGTAAGTTACAAACAAACTTGATTCATAGATTAAAACAGGGAACTGGGAAAATTATTGTAAACTGCATTAAAAACACACAGAGGACAGTTTTTCTGTGCAATAAGGCAGAGGATGCCACTGTAAATATTTTAATGCATTTAAATGTATTCATCCACAACTCAACATCTTGATGACTGCTCGAGAAGATGGAATAATGAGGCGCTAAATATGTGGTCCTCGGTGTGTCTGCGCAGCGGATCCTCGTTCCAACTGGTTTGCGTTTGTTTGCGCGTTGTGTTTACCTCGGCTCCCGCAGGTGTGCGAGCATTCCGCCCACGGCGACCAGTCAGACAGTATACAGCTGACAGGACAGTCGACCACACAGCTCTCCAACAGCTGCAACTTGTTGATCAAACCAAACTGTGGGAAACAAGAACTGAGCTGAGTGGAAGACCTGCTAATTATTTCCAGTAAAACTGAAAAAGAGAACAGATACAGTCTCATGTTCTAAACAAGCTGCAGATCATTTCCGGTGGAGATACAGCAGCTGAATAGCTTCCATTTGTTAGTGAGCTCTAATACATTCACATGTAAAGATATAATTCTTATTGCTCATTTAAATGTCATACATAGCAAAAATTTAGATTAGTTTTAATACAGCATGAATCCAAATGTACGGTGGCCCTGAGGTGTAAATGAACAGCATTTTTAAAAAAAAGAATCACATTTGGAAAAACTGAATTACATTTGAAAAAAATGGAATTACATTAAGCCAAACCAGAAGTGGGGGTGGGGTGTAGTGTTTTTATTTATTTATTTATTTATTTTAACTTTATTAACATAAAACTACGGTGGCCCTGAGGTGGTTTGGTTTAATGTAATTTCATTTTTTCAAATGTAATTCCGTCTTTTTCAAATGTAATTCCGTTTTTTTCAAATGTGATTCCATTTTTTTCCAAATGTGATTCTGGCCATTTCCTCTTTGGCTTAATGTAATTCCATTTTTTTCAAATGCAATTTTTTTTTTCAAATGTGATTCTGGCCACTTCCACTTTGGGCACTTCCTCTTCGGCTTAATGTAATTCTTTTTTTTTTCAAATGTAATTCTGTTTTTTTTTTCAAATGTTGTTGTGTTTTTGTTGCATTTTTTTCAATGCAATTCTGTTTTTTCAAATGTTGTTCATTTACACCACAGGGACACCATACAAATGCAAGTGAAGGCAACTGTAAGTGCAGACCAGAGAATGTATTTAGTGAAAAAAGGCCCCTGCTTGTACCATCATTGCAGCATCCTCAAGACAACCATTTGTCTCTGTGCAATTGAGATAAGACAATACCATTAAGCTCTGTTGACCTAGTGGCAAACTGGCTCATGAAACATTGGTTAGAAGATTAGAAACAACATTTACACTCAAACGCATAAGACAACTGGGCTTTCCATAATGTATAACATATGGGAAAAGAGCAGGAGCTGCAGCGCTGCATGAACCATCAATATCTCTTTATTTGAAGAAAAAAAAAAAAGAAGCTAAATTAAGACTTTTTTAGGGTGAAATAGAGCTGGCTTTCTGGAGTTGGATTCACTTACAATGTGGACCGTCTACATGAAAATAATATTACTGCACATTTAAGTCCTTCAACATAAACTGTGTTTTGTTTGTTTTATAGCTGGGCTAATGTAAAAAATTCTTGAACTGTAAATTCACAGCACAAAATACAAACTATAAAAAGAAGCATTACACCAAATAATTCTGAATTAGCTGTTTTTCCCCTTTTGTCTAAAGTAGAATCAGAAAATAGTAAGGCCATGTGCATTATCTGCATGAACCATCTGATTTACAGCAGTCTCTCGTTTACCACAGGGGGTCCGTACCCTGAAGCCCCGCGATAAGTGAAAAACCGTGAAGCAGGAATAGTAGTACAAGTAGTCATGTATTTTATTATTTATATATGCATATATTAAGGTGTTTTAAACCCTTCCAACACTCTTGCAATATTATAAATAATGTTTCTAAACAATGTTTCTAAATTCTAAACGCTCTAAAAGAGCACAGAATGTCATGATTTCAGCTCTCTGCCTCCTGCTGCACTCTGCCACCTTGGCCACGCCCACTTCTCCGCTGCGGAACAGAGATATGACGAAGCTTCTCCTGCAGCTTGAGCTGCACAAAGGTGCTAAATACTTTCAAATAATTTATTTTAAATAAAAAAATACATGTCGATCGTATGGCTGATCCATCAATCAGCCATTTGTGTGTCATATACAATCGTGCTTTGAAAAATTGCGATAAAGTCCGCGAAAAACGAACCGCGAAGTAGCAAGGGGCTAGTCTATTGTCTTTAGTTCTGTTTGAAGTCATTACCTGCTTGCACTTCTGCAACTCCACAACTTTGCCATCACTGCGTACACAATCCAGGTGGCGCAAACGTGATCCTCGACCACAGATGGCATTTTCACATAGCTGGCATGTACTCCATTCTGTAAAGAGAGCAACATCATGTCTGCATTAGTCTTTTTTCTTCTTTGTTTAAGAGAGACCTAACAACATTTCACAAGTAAAATTACTGCCATAAAAGTAATTCCCTGAAAATAACTGTGAGAGACACAACCATACATCAGTCTATTTGTCTATTTTCTAGATGTTTCTTTTCTGTTTGGGGTCACTGGGGAGCTAGCGCCTATTACCAGCGGCTTATGGGCAAGAGAATAGGTGCACGCTGGGCAGGTTGCCAGTCTGACATGGGAACAGCACAAACACAAACAAGAAAAATAACCATGCTTACACACACACAATGGCAATTTAGAAGCTCTACTTAACCTGAACATACTTGCTTTTGTTTGTAGGAGGAAATCAGAGTACACAAAGACTCACACATGCATGTGGTGAGTGTCCAATCCACACAGAAAGGTAGCAGCTAAAGATAGTATCTCACTGGGCTTTGACTGTTGAAAACTATTTGTAGACTCAAAATTAAAAAGCCATTTGTTTAGTTGCAGTCTCACTAGATTTGAGTGTTTGTAACCAAAAAACAATTGGTGTCAAATTTTTGAAAATTGTCTATTTTCATGTGTGTGACTTGCAAAACTGTATTCAAGGCCATGCAAAATTTTTCATTGCCCACCTCAGCACACATCAAACATGCCTTGGCTCGTCTTTGAACACACCTTGGCAGGCACCCACACATTTGGGATTTAGTCTGCTTGAATACAGTTTTGAAATGGGGAAAGCCAAAATTGTCATTATTGTGGTTTTGTTTCTGTCATATGAAACAAGCAAATAGCTGAGTCTCTGCAACCTTTGCAGGGAAACTGCATGTTGGCCAATGTTATGAGATATATTTGGAGACTTCTTTGCAAACTCTGTTTGTCAATTCTTCATCAACGGTTATAACTCAGTGCACACAGACCACTGCACCATTGTATGGCCTAACACAGCACAACTAAAACAGGTATTTTACTTTATGTCTCATACAAATTTAAAAATCCCAGTTAGACTGTTTTACTTTTTTATTTTTATTTTTTTACTTTTCTCTCAGCTAAATTGCTTCACAGCAAAACACAGAAAGCAATCCTACAGTTCTCAAGGGATCAGTTTGTGAAATATTATCAAGTCTCAACAGAGAATGCAATCCTTTTACGATTATGCTAACATCGTGTTTATGATCACTGTTGAAGCCACCATTTGTTTAAAATATATATCTTAGCACATCAACAGGTGGGTACAATCCACCCTAAAGAGCCCATTGTTTTTGCAGACACCATCAAACGTTATCTGTGATTTCCTCTGAGAAATATAACTATGTGAGCTGTGAGATATTCTCAAATGGAGCCTAAAGACGAACCTAAAAAACACTAAAGATGGAATGTTTGACACCTTATATGAGCTCACATCCAGTGTTGCAAAAATCTCTGTGTTGAGGGCAAGTTTAGTGCCCCGCAGCCCTAATATAAACCCACGGGGCATCATCTGTTTGGTCCTAATGTACTTTACAATGTTGCCTAGCAACAAGGGCAGCTGTGCTCTGACCCAAGCCTGATCCGATGAGACAAGAAAAAGACCTCGCAAATAAGATCAACCATCACAAGCTTGCTCTTGAAGCTCAGCTCTGCCCATGCCTGAAGACGATGAGAAGAAAAGATGCAGACAGGTGAAAAAACTCACACGCAGAGTTTATTCAGAGTCAGTTTAATGTCATTGACAAAGATAAATTTCGTACCGTAAAGTTTGATACAGCATGCATGCTTTGGGGTTTTTTCCTCTTTCGTTCTGCTTTTATATGCATATAATTTTGTGCACGATGGATTTGCGGTGTAGTGAATCAGTGTCAACGCAAATGTGGGTTTTTTGGCCCCAAACTACTTGAAGCACCTCATTTGTAGTCCATGCCTTTTTTTTTTCATATCATTTTAATGTAAGACATTTGCATAATACTTCACTTGTGGCTGTTATTGTATATCCCAAACAGAAAAATAAGGAAAGCACCAGCTTCTCACCACACCAAGTATTATCAAATACACTGACAGGTCAGAGCAGACAGATGTTTCAGAAAGTTAATTAGGTGCTGTATAGTGTACAATAATTTTTTTTTATTAATTAAGACACATATATTTTAGTAGACCTCCAAGAAAACTATATAAATCAGGTAAAGAAAATTTATTCAGAATGATTGTATTAGTTTATTAAATTTTAAATCCCTTGGTAACACAAGTGCATGTACAGGTGAAGCCATGTTCTAACCAGTTACATACAAAGAATGGCAGCAAAAAACAATCTCAGCCCAGTTCTGAATAAAGAAAATAAACTCTCAGAGGCAGGTGCAAATCCAGTATACAGTAATAAAACAGAAGCCTCTGAGGACGACGGCATCCAGTGCTTTAAGGTGGCAATAAGATGAGCACACATAAAGTAAGTCTGTGGATCGGTCGTCAATATTCTGACAATCATGACAGAATCAAGTGAACACATCTGGAAATGTGTTCATAAACATAACTAAAACCCAAGAGGTAACAAAGAAAGGAAGGAAAAAAAAAACTAAAACCTCCCAGTCGTATTATTACAGTAACCAATATAACTTTTAATTTCAGTTAACACTAAAGAAATTAAACAAATATTTTGGGTTATGAAAATAAATTAATAAAATAAATGAAAATTTGAAAGTATAACCAACTCAAGTAATTCAGTCAGTAAAGGACACAAAGACATATTTCACATCGTAAAGCAGCTTACTGATTTTAATTTTGTACCAGGAACATTCTAATAGCCTTACAAAAAATAATTATAACAATTATATATATATATATATATATATATATATCTTTGTGTGTGTGTAAATAACACATTTTTATTTCCTTTTTTGTTGGTCTGTGCGGGCATGACAGGTACTTGTACACAAACTGTGAACTGCCTAGGAATCATCTTTCTTTTGATCCTGGCTTTTAATCTGCCTCCTTCTTTTCTCCAGTCTTTCTTCCATTTTTTGGGCATTGTTAGCAAAGTACTGACAGAAACACTTTTAGTCAGGCTATTTTGATTTCATTTACTCACTGACTGTCAGCTGTGTGCTAGGGCGAGGACAGCTGAGGTGTAGAAACTTTAAAACAAATATGTGAGACAAGCAGGGGTGTTCAGAGAAAAATGTTTCAAATCCAAATATGCTCCTTTGGACTGAAACTCTGGTCCAATTAAAAACAAACAAAAAAAACAGTAATGTAATGATCATCAAGTCACGGTCAGCAGGCCACTTACAGACTGCAAAGGGCCCTTTTCTGGCCTCGGGGTGAGGAATTTGGATATTTGGATATAATTTTGTGTTCTGAATAATCAAAGTTTTAGATCTGAAGGCAACATCTGCATCATAAACCTTTGGAGTGTGACAATATTTATTCAGTAACCATGAACAAAAAGCTCATCTTCCTGCTTCCTTAAATATTTTTTTAATCAATTTCTTGTCTATGATACGAATTTGTCATTTTCTTAAATAATTATTACAAAATTTTAACCTAATAAAAAAAATGTTTATAGTTATTATAATGCATAAATATCTAACATTGAACCTAACATCAAATATTAAATAGGCAAGATTGGCAATATTATTATTATTAGGGATGCACAATATTGGATTTTTGGCCAATATCCAATATGCCGATATGTTAATACTTATTTGGCCGATAATCGATACCAATATTTTTTTTTCCTATACCTACTTACAGAGACTAGATAACTTTCTCTGTTGTGTAATTAAAATACAACATTATTCTGCATTGGACAGCTATTGGGCGCTGTACAGGTCTGCCGTGGTGAAGAGAGAGCTGAGTCAAAAGGCGAAGCTCTCAATTTACCGATCGATCTATGTTCCCACCCTCATCTATGGTCACGAGCTTTGGGTTGTGACCGAAAGAATGAGATCTCGGATACAAGCGGCCAAAATGAGTTTTCTCCGCAGGGTGTCTGGGCTCTCCCTTAGAGACAGGGTGAGAAGCTCGGTCATCCGGGAGGGACTCAGAGTAGAGCCGCTGCTTCTCCATGTCGAGAGGAGCCAGTTGAGGTGGCTTGGGCATCTGTTTAGGATGCCTCCTGGACGCCTCCCTGGTGAGGTGTTCCGGACACGTCCCACTGGAAGGAGGCCCAGAGGAAGACCCAGGACACACTGGAGGGACTATGTTTCTCGGCTGGCCTGGGAATGCCTCGGGATTCCCCCGGAAGAGCTGGCCCAAGTGGCTGGGGAGAGGGAAGTCTGGGCCTCCCTACTTAGGCTGCTACCCCCGCGACCCGACCCCGTATAAGCGGAATAAAATGGATGGATGGATGGATTATTCTGCATGGTCTTTGTCTGTTTGGCCTGTTACCAAATGCAGATGCCAAAAAGGGGACTGAAAATGATGTAACACATCAACTTGGATTATGTTTAATGTCAAATTTATTCAAGACATTTACTGTCTCTAACACAATGACAACACTGGAACAGTGCAAATTTGTAAATTTTCACAAATCTAAACTGAAAGGCGCACATGATGTCATAACTTTGTGCTGGCGCTGCAGGTATCATTGTCACTGGGTTATCATACAAAAACAGCAACTTGTATGTGTGTGTGTGTGTATATATATATATATATATATATATATATATATATATATATATATATAGACCACGTCTTTTATATCGTTGAGTTATTTTGATGGAATGGCCAATGTCTGATATTAACTTTATTTCTAATATCGGCCGATACCATGCCGATAATATTGTGCATCCCTAATTTTTATTATACCACTTCATGGCAAGTCACTTTAACAGTCTGGTTCTACAGAAGGAAGAATATCAGGTGTAATGGTACTCAATATTAACGAGTACTAAATGTAAGTACTTGTACTATGTTTAAAAAAATGGGGCATCTTTGCCTCCTTAGTTTAAATCAAGGGTGGGTATGGCAGTGGTGACTGCAGCTAACAAAGCAGCATTTGCTTGTATTTGACACAAAATGAGAGTTTTAGAGAGCCCAGGTGGCTTTTACAAAGATATTATAAAGACGGACTGCTAGGCAGCGTCTCGTTTGGAATGTAAGAGGAGAGACACAAGATGAGGCTGTTCAACCACACAGTTCTGATCCCATTTAGGAGTCACATGGGGCCAATAAACAAATGATTTATTCAGACACTGATGTACAGAGACCAAAAGGAAAATGAGGGAATTGACTTTTCTGATCGGGCTTAGTCTTAGACACCCTGGGCAAAAAAAAGTACTTTTTAAAACAAAAACATAAATAAATATACTTGAGTCATTACTGTATGTGCACATCATCCTACCTGTCACAGTGTACTGATAAGTGAAGCAGGTATTGTTGAGAACACAAGGTTCTGACTGGACCAATTCTGGACAAGTTCCACCGTCTGAAACTGGGGGGCGGAGGATGTGTCTGCTTCTGTTCCTTAAATATCCTTGGTCACATTCCTGCAATAATAACATGAAAGGTAGCATAAAGTTCAGACAAAACAGGAAATTAAGCTGTCATTGTAATGGGAAAACACAAAAATATAAATTAAAACATTACAATTCTTGGGAAATCTAAGATTTAGAGAATTTCTTGATGTTTTGACTGCTTAATGCATTTCAACCTTGTGCTAGAAAGAAAAAAAATGAGTTGGCTGTTACTACTGAATTAGCTTCACGTGTTAAAAATAGTTTGCAAAAAGAAATTACATATCTGTCCTTGTTAGCTACCGGCCCTTTACTTAAAATAGTTTTATGGTTATTTATAGCAAACGTCATTTTCTAGTGTCTGTTTTGGTGTTCTGTTGTCATTTTCAAGGATAAACTATGTTTAATTACCTTTTAAAGACATATGAAATAATAGTTTATCTCGTTACAAATATTCCGTTTCATTTTTGGCTTTGGGGATATATTATATTGATAACTTTACACTTTTCGTCAAGCAACAATAAAAGGGAAGTTTTATGTTTAAGTTATTTGAACATAGCTTCCTGTTACAATCCTGTTCACGTTGCCAAACAAATATGTTCAATTATTTCTAGGTAAATAGGTTCAAAGAAAAGACATGTATTAAATCTAAGAAAATACTTCCAATGCATAACGTCAACTGATGATGTCAGAGTGAAATCATAAATGCACATGAGTGAGAAATTGAAAAAAAATAAAAAATCAATACAAAACAAATAAATTCAGATTAAACTTTCAAGAAACTATTCTACCCTGCCTACCAGGTTTTATTTATTTATTTATTTTTTATCATGTCATTGCATGTCTGGAAAATACTACACACTTTTACATGACAACAAAAAAAAAGTGCATTCCCAGTGATTTACAGCCCAGAACACATTTAGCTTATTTCCTAACCTTCATCTTATAACATGAATAGTTCATCAATTTTGAAATGTTTTCAAAACATATTCAGAATTATTTAAAACCATTTTAACCAGTTGTATTTGGTAAAATATACTTAAGTCTTGCCTTTGCTTTCAGGCCCACAATGATTGTATTGTATTGATTTTGCAACACGCTGAGCTATAATTTGGTGCTGAGTGAACCTGTTAACCGATTTCTGTTGAACACGCTGAGAAGACGTTTGGTGCTGTTTGTTCCTTACATTCAAACCACACTGACATATTTAGAAACATGAACTTTTGAATGACATCATCTTATAGTAATGGTACAGAATGCCAACAACTTAAACAACTAAGCAGTTTTTACTAGAGAGTATCACAAAACCTTGGTTTAATGGCACAATCATTGATACTGATCTGTAAAATCCTATGTTTAAACCTAATTACCCGAAAAGGCACTGGTAATCATTATCAGAAATATGCATCATCAGGAAGCGATAGAATGATGAGATTAATTCTGGCCACATTATGTAAAATAAATGAAAATCTATGGCCTGAGGACGTGTAAACATGGATAAACTGTGAGCTTCTGATTAAAGGGGAAAAAGATAAAAGTCTTTTCATTGAGCTGGATTTGTCCCTCCACACCTGATGCACCAGGCCCCGCACCTCTGTCAGTGTCAGCTGCTAATGAAAAACCCGAGCGTGAAGCTCATAAATCAGCTGCAGCCATTGTAGTGGTAATGCGTTGTCATTCTCACACAACCTTGCACACATTTGTATGATATATGCAACACACGGTGAAGTGCAGAAATCTTATTGTTCAAAAGGTTTACACCAGATGAAACATTGGGACCCTGCTCAAATACATTTATATTATTCTGCTGTAGCCAAAGTTTGTTAAAACAAGGCAAATTAAAGCTACTAAACTTTTAAAATCAATAATTTATTAAAGGCAAAACTGTGAAATTACCAAACAATGTTTACATTCTCAGATTTTCTCTTACTCACTGTATTGTAAAGCTCAAATCTAACCAGTCATGCAACAATTATGACAATGTCAAGACATTCTGACCCAGTAATTGCAAAAAAAACAGGTTTATCTTCTTAAAATATGAAAAAAAAAAACTCTAAACACAATGTATGTGTTAATAAGTGAACATTATTTTTTTTATTTAACCTTTATTTAACCAGGCAAATCCCATTGCGATCACAGATCTCTTTTGCAAGGGAGGCCTGGACCTGAAGGCAGCTTAACGTACATGCTTTTGATTATATGAAGACACAGCTGCAATATTGACATTTACTGTTGACAAAAGTGCAAAATTAAAGTTCAGTGAACAGTTCAACTCCACTGAAATTTTAAAATTGTGTTCGCCAAACTGTGCCATGAGGTTAATGCTGAATTTAATAAACATAAGAGACATTTGGAAAGCCATTTGCAGCTTATACATGCTCATCTGTTAACACTTTATCCCAAACATTAATATATTTTAGGAAACACTTGGCGAAACACCTCTTTCATAAACACTGAACAAAGATAAGTTTACCGTATTTTTCGGATTATAAGGCGCAATATTAATGAACGGGTCTGTTTTCATACATAAGGTGCACCGGATCATACTGTTATAAATGATTAAAGTTAGGGTTATTAGAAACTAGACCTATCAAACACAGAGCTTGATACAAACAAAGCGTCACTGTGATGAAGTGGAAATGAATCACACCCTATATAAGGCATTTATTCATTTTGCTTATGTGTTACTGCCAAGAATGTGAATAAATAAATAAATAAGTGGCTAAACCAGGCTATGAATCCCTCATCTCCTGTACTAAAATCATGGAATAAAATCACTTCTCTGACCTCCCAGTTTATGGCAACACAAGAGCAATATGGGTCGGAGTATACCATGCAGGCAGAACCCAAGATGCAGGCAGGTTAAGTGTAAATGGAACACCACAACCAAGTGATTGGACGTGTTCAGGAATATCTGTGTCAGGTACAGGCCAGAGCTGCAACAATCCAAATGATGTCCATTATGTAGCTCAGGGACACATTTCATGTGATATTTCATTTCATGTTCATATGTGATGGACAGCCTCCCAAAAATCTTCTATCCATGTTTTTGCTATGAATAATTCCCTTCTTAAGGCTAGTCTCTTTTAAATAATGTTAAAATATTACATAAACTGCTTTAGACTGACTATATCATGAGATGAACTGTGGATGTTTTTTTTTTTTTGTTTTTTCCTAACAGCTTTAAAAAGTTACAAACTCAAAGACAGAACAAGATGAAAAGTCTGTGTCAAAAAACTTACAGGCTAATTAAGAGATCACTTTTATCCTTTTTTTTGCCCTCCATCTTGCTCATTCCTTGGCTCCAATGTTCCAGTTTAGTGAACTGTTATATCTGACAGAAAACCTATAACATTACTACACCGCCGTGTGACCACTAGCCTGTGGCTACAAACACAGAGGTTCATGTTCTCTGTTGTTTAAGCTTGAGGCCAAACTCTTTACAGACAATAGAAACACACCATTAAACAGCAATTTACAATTGCACAACAAACAACTTTTGGTGACAAACGTAAAAAGAGTAATGGTTCTAATAACTATATAAGTCAGGAAGCCTATTTTAGGAATTGTAAAATTATAGGGAGGAAAAAGCTCTTTGTAACGTGACTTATTAATTCATTCTGTGTGTATGTAGCTATTTTTGTTTAATTTTTTATATCATTTCTTCTATTTACTTTTCATTTTATATGCTTTTTTATATGATTTCTAATGTTTTTACCTCATCTGTGTTCTTTGTTTAAAACAGGTCTCTCTTGTAAATGAGTCCCCGAGGCTCAATGAGAATAACCTGTATAAATAAAGGTTGAATGAATGATTGAATTCAGTCCGAGTGAGAAAAAGGTAAATCAGTGTATGTTTGGATTATTTGCTATAATTTATGTACAGCATGGAATACAAATTAAGCAGAATTGATTATTTACACGCATATCAGAAAAAAAAAAAAAACCTTTTACAACAAACAAGACAACAAAAATAAAATTTCAGGCAATACTGTTCCAAGTTTATCAAAGAAATGCTCATTTAAATTCTGTTTTACAGCAAACACTATGTAAGAACAAAGGTACAAGAGAGAAAAAAACAATTTTTTGTTGTTCTTTTTACCCCGGGGCAGTTGCTCCATGGTCCCCAGGGTGCCATGACACAGTCACTGGGGCAGGCTAAAAAGCAGACCTGGGCTCTGGGTGGCATTTCATCCTGATCACACAGACCATCATCCACAGTGTCGTCCTCCCCACTCGCTGCTTCCTTCTTCACACACCTAAAAAGAGCAGCAAAAACAGTTCTATAACTAGTCTCTGGGGTTGTCATAACTAACCCCCCCCCTTTGAGTTTCAAAGCATCTCAAAGTCTCCGACTCAACAAAGATCTATTACTTATTATTTTTATTTTAGCGTAAGAATTTTATTTGCTTTACTTTTGAAAAGTCTCTGCAGATTTTTCCATCTTTCTTAGGTCTAAAATTTGATTTGATTTTTGAATTGAAGACATAAATAATTGTAAAAATGCTGTAAAAGCCCCATCTTCTATGTAAACGTGTCAGTCTGTTTACATTCAGAAGTAAAAAGTGAGATTTATGATCAGTTTTAGTACCATTGGAAGCTAAAAAGAATGAGTTATTAGACACATTGTTATTAACTATTTAACTCAACTATTAGTTTAGAAACAGCTGACCTAAGAAAACACTTAAATGATTATAAATCAGACAATTTTAAAGCTAATGAAGTACAATTTGGCAAGGTAGTACTTGAGCATTATTCACAACAAATACAAAGTACTTCGAATTCAACTTTTACTCAACAGTTTTGCCTAAAACCTTGACATTACTTTTTTGACTCCACACTGTTTGTCTTTTAGCAACATATCTCATAAACCGATGGACATATTTCAATAATACTTTCACAATGTAATCACTGGATGCTTGATGTTTGGAGTTAATCAAATTCAAGATGGCTGTCATAGCTAATCAACCTTAGCCATTTCAAAAACGACCTCCAAACTACCTCTGTGAATTTTAGAGCTATAGAGCTAGAACTTGGCATGGTTTTAGGTTTTATTCACAGCACATTGATTGCTAACATATCCTATAAGGCTCAATGAGATTAACTTGCACAAATAAAGGTTGAATGAATGAGACTCAGTGATTTATATGCCATTGCAAAACCATCCATCCATTATCTTTTACCCACTTCTTCCATTTTGAGTCATTGGGGTTGCCGGTGCCCATGTCCAGCAATCACTGTGAGAGAGGCGGGGTACACCCTGGACAGGTCGCAAGTCCATCACAGGAACACATAGAGACAAATGAAACAAACAAGCAACCATTCACTCTCTCACTCACACCTAGGGACAATTTAGAGTCACCAATCAGTCTAAGATGCATGTTTTTGGTCTGTGGGAGGAAAACGGAGTACCCGGAGAAAACCCACGCATGCACGAAGAGAACATGCAAACTCTACTCAGAAGGCCCCCAGACTGGGATTTGAACGGGCAGCCTTCTCACTGAGCGGCAGCAGCTCTACCAGTTGCGCCACCGTGCTGCCCGCCATTGCATTTTTTTTTTTAATGTTTGAGAAATATTGAAATGTTAAAATGAAAAACATTTCTTCCTATTGTTTTATTAACAGACTCTTCAAGCCTCATACGGTTCATTATTTCCTACAGACACCCCCCCCCGCACACACACACACACAGATTTTTTTCATTTTTTATTAAGTGCTGAATTTTAAAGCAGCTTTAGTTTAGCTATTCAAGTGAACGTGTTTATTTTTCCACAGAAGTGTTTAATTCAGCATCATACCCCACATTACCATTTCCCTGTGGTTTCTAAAGTGCCACTGAAAGGCAAAAAAAAATAAAAAAAAATCAATCTAACACTCATTGTGAAGCATTAGTTTGTTTTGACTGTTTTCCCTTTGCGCTGCAGGTGTGAATGACACGTTAGTGACTGCTAAAAAGAGCGGTGCCAATCCAGTTTCTCCCATTGTGTGTTGCCGTGCCAGCTGAAGAGTTTGCCAAGCCAGAACTGCTCACTGACCTGATCTTGCGGCTTTGGACTCCCTCCCCACATGCTGGCAGGTCGTCCACGGTGTTGATGGTACAAATGGACCAGGGCTCGATCCTCCACTCGTACTGGCTGCACTCCCTATTGCATGGCACAGCTTCATACACCTATGCATGAGCAAACACACAGACATGTACAAGCACAAATAAACAGAAAGGAAGAGCCCAACATGAGAAATACAGGAAAATAAGCTAAAAGAGTTTAACCTGAAATGCAATGATGTGCATACAAATCAGCTCGTAGCAGAACTGTGAATATTAAACTTACACTCAAGCATGCTCTGTGTACAACTCAGTCTAGTGTACTGCAGAGTTAAAAAGCTTTTGGAGAGACTTCCAAGTTTCATTGTCGTTTAATGATGTATTGCTTGGTTAGAGGCAATGTTCCACCTGGGTTTTCTTTGTGTGATTGAAAAATAAAAGGGGGAAACAATCATTTGTGCATTCACATGTGATTTCATACATGTTTTAGCATCCTTCTTCCATGGAAATTACTCATAACATCAAACACTTGAGCTTTTCCTGGAGTGCTTCGAGAATTATTGGATATGAATGTCAAAACGAGTCCCCCTTTTTGACATCCAGAGTATGAAAAATGTGTAAAAACTAAAAGCAGGCAAAAAGCATTTTGAGAAACAAATTAAAAGAAGAGAACACTATGGAAGGAAAACAGAGTCTCTGAGCTAACTAACGTGCTACGGCTGCAAGAAAAGGGCTAAAAGTGGTTTGTCCACATTGAAGGGAAAGTGAAAGTATGTATGACATGGTAAGAACAGCATGGAGTGTGTAAAACCAGAATGACCATGGCAACAGGCCCTTTGGCTGACAATGTAATTGGCTAGATTTTGAGCTTATTCACTTCTCCCCATTCAGCCAGTGAATCTGCCATGTCTGTGGAACCAAGGGAGCAGCCGGCACAATGCTCCTGTGAAACACATGTTTACTCTCAATCTATGTAACTGTCTGCCACAGTAAAAAAGGTATGCTCCTGAGGACGGTTTGTGGAAAAAAAAAAGCTATGACAAGCAGCAACGTGTGTCAGTAGGTGTGTATGTGTCGGAGTGTGTGTGCTCAGACTAGCGAGTAGGAATGAGCGTTGAGTATTCCCTCCCCTGCAGGCCACACAGATGCCTATTACACACCGTCATCATCTCCCATCTGTCCCTGCAGATGCCCCTGCTGGGAAAACTGGCAGCTTCCCTACTCCCACTTTCCCCACTACTACCGCAGATTCACAGTTTAGAAACACCAGAAAAAAAATGACTTGTGAGTCCCTTTCCTCACAATATACAAAGTTTATTGAGCACTAAATCTGTATTTTGAGAAATAACTGCAAAACTTTGCTACCGTAGCACTTACTAAACTGGTTCGAGTGCCCCCACGCGCAAGATATCGGACAGTAAATAAAGTTCAATATAATATAAGGTTGGCAGGTTAAAGTGGTTGTACTACAGTGCATCATTTAGAACAAGAAATAAAAATAGAAGAGTATGTTCAAGTACACCTAAAGTCACACACATTTACAGGAAGCAGAAGAAACTGGAATAGCCAATCAGCTAGAATCATCTGTGACACAAAAAGGATCCACTTATTGGTGTTGCACTCTTAATCCTCTGTTCTTTCGTTCACTTAAATATCCATCCATCCATTATCTTTTACCCGATTCTTCCATTTTGGGTCATGGGGGTCGCCGGTGCCCATGTCCAGCAATCACTGTGCGAGGGGCGGGGTACACCCTGGACAGGTCGCAAGTCCATCACAGGGACACATAGAGACAAACAACCATTCACTCTCTCACTCACACCTAGGGACAATTTAGAGTTACCAATCAGCCTAACATGCATGTTTTTGGTCTGTGGGAGGAAACCGGAGCACCCGGAGAAAACCCACGCATGCACGGAGAGAACATGCAAACTCCACCCTGAAAGGCCCACGAACTGGGATTTGAATCAGCAACCTTCTCGCTGAGAGGCAGCAGCTCTACCAGTTGCGCCACTGTGCTGCCCTTTAATAAATAAATAAATTAATTAATATTCAATTTATTTAAATTTTCATTCAACCTTTATTTAGACAGGTTAGCACTACAGGTATATTACCCTGCTCAGGTGTTTTAATTATGTTAAGTGGAGGCGAAAAGTAGATGGAATTTCATCCAAATAGATATAAAATAAGGTATTTCCATCCGGTAGCACTTTGTCCTTCAGACTATTGTTTAATGTCACAATAAAGGACCAGAGGAGACAGCAGTGTGTGTGACTTGGACAGATCTGGCATGCATTTGGTTCTCATTAGCTAAAAGCAGAGTATATGTACACAATGAATGGCACTGACCTGAGCCTGCGTGGATGTCCATATTAGCAGTGCATGACAAGCCAGAAGTTGGGGAGGGGGGAGAGAAGAACAATGATACGATCATTAGTTTAGATTTTGCCTGCAGCGACAGAAATGTATAGCTCTGGTTAAGTCTGATTTTAAATCCACTGCATTCTGCTCAGAGTTTCATTAATGAGGGTAAAGGAAGATTAGGTGCTTCATCATCTGCACTGAATCTTGAATATATTTGTCAAATGGAATGATTCATACTGCTGGGAGACTTTTAAAGTGCTGCAGTTAGTTGTAACAGCTGTGCTTCGGACGGGCCTGCAGTCGAGGGCAACTCTGAGAAGCTAATTTGTATGGAGACGATAAGCGTGAATAAGCATATGCTCAAAGAGGCCATGTGCTCTTTATCAAAACAAGGTTGCTTAAAATAGTTTATGATGTTGAGATGGAAAAAAAATAAATTATCATTAATTTAAAAAAAAAGGCTTATTGTGTGGTCCAGGAAGATATGGAGCCATGGACTTTAAATGTGTTATTTTGTATCTAATGCTTGTAAATTCACATACTGACTAAAAGCTGTGAATCATACAGTACTGTGCAAAAGATTTGAGTCATCACTAGCATCTTTTATTTTGCTGCCACATAACAATATGCTTTTGAAGGGGTCTAGAGGAATAAAAAAAAAAAAAACTTTTTTTATTCTTTAGGTGTTCGGAACATCTTATTTATTTGGGCTTTGGCTGCTTTTTTAACTCACTTTTAGTCATTTAAACTGTTTAACATTGACCAGTCATCATCAGTCATTCAGGAATTAAAAAAAAAAAAAAGTGTTGTCGAGACAAGAGAACTTATCAAATACTTTGTAACACATTTTAATGGGGTTTTTATGCTCTTACTGGTAAATTGACATACAGTAAAAGCACAATTTGGTCCTATTTATTTTGTTGAATCTTAAATAGAATACTAAAGGTAACAGTTTGACACAGAAAAAAATAGCATTTTAGCAGGAACGAGGAGATTTACATAAAGCTATTAGCTGAAAACATATCACCTCTCAGGTTCTGCATCTGGTCTTTGCTGAACATTTATGTTTTTAAAGACAAGTTTCAGACTTTTTCGTTTGCTGTAGCTGTTTTTTCTTTAGACTTATTTTGTCTTCCCCTTGTTCATGCGCCTAATTGTTTTAGATGCACACTGCACAATATGCTGTCATGGTAAGGTCCAAAAATTGGAGAAAGATGATTAAACATCAACCACAAAAGGAACTATTTTTAAGGGCCTACATAACATCCTCAAATCTACTGATCAAGACCACTTTAAAAGCTGACAAGAAAGTCCTGCAATGCTTTAAACTTTTGCACAGTGCTACATTTGCTAGCATACTATGATAATTATCAAGGTGAAGAATGAAAAAAAAAACTTAAAGCATCATTTTTTTTTTTTTCATTAGATTCTACTAACACAGCTTATGTAAAATGTTTAAACAAGTTTAAAGTATGTATTATTTGGGGTATGAAGCTATAATCTTAAAAAAAAAAAAAGTTCCCTCACTGATTTGGTTCAAATGTTTGTCCAAAATTGTTCCCAGATGTTCGGTTGAACTGAGATGATTGTGATGTTAAAGGCCAAAGTAAATGATTGACAATTTTCCCACTCATTCAACCATTCAGTAACTGTCCTAATGTTTGTAGGTGAAGCTGTTGTCATTCTGTAAGAGACCACTTCCCTTAGCTGATACAGTGTATGCTGATGGTGAACATTCAGAACAACTTTGCATGATCTTTCCATGTAAAAGGACAAATGACCCTAAAGCCTTTGAGCAACATGCTCCATACAGAATCCTGTAAAAAAAAACAAAAAAAAAACTGTATCCTCTCACTGCAAATTATTTAATTTGTCCCACATCTTCGTAAACATGCTGAAACAACACGATGATGCACAAGATAAAGAAAGAAAATGCACTCACTCACAAACAAAGACATAAAAATACCAAGACAAAGAAACCAAAAAGTGCAAACAAGCTCTACTGGTGGGAAGGCATTTTATCGTAAACTGAGAAAATAGGTTTCAGAGATTTGAAGCGGGGCACTTCTCCTCAAATCAGTGCCTTTGTGTGCTATTGTGTGACTTCAAACAGTCCCTGCAAGTGCAGTCAGCAAGACCATGGCTGAGTTAAAAATATAAATCAATAAATAAAACTGTTCCTTTCACAAACACAGTGAGCTCTGTTCCTGCATGAGGATGACCTTATAAAGTAAAGTACTCATGAGACGGCAACATGTTCCAAAGTCACGCTGATAAATATTTTTGGGGACATTTATGTATGATTTTATTGTAAAATTATTGTTAGGAAACCAAGCTTTGACTTGGTTACAAATTGCACATTTGGTATTGGTAAACAATTTACAATACAATGAAATAAAGGAAATGCAAGAAAAGATAAAAACAAATAGGAAAGCCACTGTTCAAGACATAAAACACCAGAAAAAAAAACGATACGAGTTCGAAATTAAAACGTAATTTGAAAAATTCAACAAAATTAATTCCAAAAGTATTAACGAAAGGAAGTGTGCTGCTCTGATATTTTTAAATTAAGTGGATTAAAAATGATTTTGAGCTTTGAATTTGTAGCAGACACACTGGCCCTGCACTGTTAATCAGCTGTTAGTATCATTTAAGCATATGACTTCCCACAATTGAAATCAATAAAACTCATTTTCACTTTGATACTGGACCAGTAATTTAGCATTTCATCTTTACTCTGTCTCTTCTTTTCATCATCTCCGTTTCATAATTGTTCTTCATGTTTCTTCCCATCCAGGATGTCAATGAACCAAAGCCCTAACAAGGTTTACACAACGTTTAACATCACCCTGGACCTACTGCTGTGCTTGCTCTCCTGCGGGGCTATGGTGTGACTTTCTATAATTGCAAAAACTGATTGGCTATCAAGCTCAGAAATAATTTCCTTTTCTCATTTACTTTGTAATCTATTACCAGTAGTCAGTTCAACAAGACAAGAATGCATTACCAAAGGCGTTTTACAAGCACTTAACCTTGCTCTATAACAATAGCTGTGGTCAAATGTACTTGAACACATGCTGCCAGTACAATGACTCAGTACAATTACAAATTACTACAAATAAAGGGATATGCAGTACATATGGATGAAAAAACACCCACCTAAATGCTGCAAATGTTTATACATTTTTTAGGAGCTGCAGGTGAGTCTTACCGATCATAATATAAATATGTGCACATTTACTGAACATGAACTTTGCCTGCGGTGTCAAAATCCTGGAATATTGTATTACACAACAAGTACAAAACAATACTCGAACCCACCTTATTTTGTCCATTACAAGCCAAAAACACAACTTGAAATATCTATTTGCAATTTATAGAAAAAAAATAAGAGGCATAACACAACTCAGACTAAATGCATTTGTCAAAGTACAAAAATAAAAAAAGTCGAAGTGAACTATTGGTTTTTTTTTGTCTCGTTAAACACTAAGTGCTTCACACTAAAACCCATATTATCTCATCCCCCACACAAAGCACTTCTAAAAACCTGCACTAAACTGACAGTCTCATTTCTACAGTAATATTGCATAACTGTAATTTACAGCAACAACAAAAAAAAAAAAAACACAACTGCTTCACAATAAAAGGTCAAAACGAGGTAAAATGACGTAGATGCATGTAAAAAATGGGAAATGGTCAACACATATATAGTGCTTTCTAACCACACTGAGGTTTTGCAAAATGTGGTGTTTTCTTTCATTCACACACACATACCCAGCACATATCTATGTTATATAATTTATATTCTGTATTCACCACTTTTATATTCCCATTCATACAGAATTATCCACATGGGAGCAATGGAGGGTTCAGTGTCTTCAGCACAATGCAGAAGCTTGGGATTGATTACCTGAGGGACCAACTGGAGGAATACCTCACTACTATAGGCCAAAGCTTCCCTTCTGAGAGCTGCCCAAATTAGCTTAATCAAACTGTCACAATACAAATGTTTTACACATTTAAGATGCCCCAAAAAAACAAAAACAACTAAACATAGTAAAATTGTAGACTATCACTGATAAAACCAAAGTTTGAACCCCAATCAACACAGCCTGTGTCAATTTATTATTCACTCCCTTCACTTTGCTGTAGTTGAATAGGTTGAATAGGTTTAGTTATAAGCACAAGAACTAACACTTACACACATAAATAATTTACATCAATAACATTTTGCTTATGAACCGTTTAGTATGCAGCCTGACAAAGTTTGGGATCAAACTGCCGACCCTCCAATTAGTCGGTAACCTCTGCTTAATCTACTGCTACCCACATAAAAAAACTGATTTATGCATGGCAATGATCACAATGAGGATCCTTGTCACACATAATATGCCATACTCACTTCATTACAAATATTGTGAGGCCTAATGCTGTGTTCTGTCTCACCGCTTCCCTGCTGTCTTGTTGAAGAGCATCCCTCTCTCCACCACCTAAATGTGTCTGTCTTGTTCGAGATTACAAGAGTTGGATGAAGTGTCACTGAGCTGCACAGGTGTCAGGCTGCAGGCTGCCTCTTGTTCCCAATCCCCTCTTTTATTTGTACAAACCTCCATCTCACTGCCAGATTTCACATTCCGCAATGAGTTAGTCTTGTTCCCGTCCCTATTTGTTGTTTAGATTACAGTTTACTCTGCTTAACCCCTGCTTTCACCATCTGCTCCAAGTTTTTCTCAACAACTTGCCAGTTACACAATATGGACAAAACTAGGAAGAAAAAATAATGTGGGAAAAATTGATGGAAATCTGTGGGATTTTGGCCTTCCTTAGGGCTCTGCAGCTCACTACTCCAGAGTCAAAATATAATTTTACGTTTAAATGTATCACAGTAAGTTGGAATTTGCATGTTTGAACTTCATTTTTTATCTTAAGTAGTTTTACAAGGCAGCACGGGGGCTCAGTTGGTAGAGTTGTTGTCTCTCAGCAAGAAGGTC